GCGCTGTGATGACGTCACAGCGCGCTTTTGTCGAGCGCGATTTTGTCCTACGCGCTTTTGTGGTGGAACCCATTCCATTGGTTGGATACCTGGGCGTTGCTCCACAATTCTCCCTGAATGGTCCCTCTCTTTTGCATGCAGACGATGCTCGCCTGGGGGCCGAGATACCTCCAAAACACGAGTGTTTTGATGGCCCAGTTTCCCTTGACAGCAGCTTCTCCGAATCCGCCTACATGTCCGCCAAGAGCAAATGCGAAGACACGCAGGAGGAAGCCACCAAGTCAGAACCCACCACCCCCAAACTCAGCAAGTCCGGTCTCATCGCGGGAACCTCTCAAGGACGGTCACCCAAGAGCTCCAGTAACCGGGCTGAGAAATGTGCCGGAGTCCATATCTCAGGACCTTTCTCGGTCACCGTCCCCTTCCACATCACGTCCAACCTTACTTTGTCCCGGCTGACCAGAGGTCTGGAGTGTCCAGCGCTGAGCTACTATGGCTTGGAGACTCCGGAGGCCGGAGAAGACTTTCCCGGGGTGGAAGAAGACAAGGAGAAACTCATGTGTGCCCTCCCTGCAAATAAGGAGGCAGATGAAGGTCAGTGTTGATATTTGTATTGAAATCGAGACTGATAGTAATAGAACAGAGCAACAGAACAGAATAACCAGTTTGGAAGAGACCTTGGAGGTCTTCTAGTCCAACCCCTGCTCAAGCAGGACCCCTTATACCATTCTGGACAAAGGGCTGTCCTATCTCTTCTTAAAAGCCTCCAGTGATGGAGCATTTACAACTTCTAGAGGCAAGTTGTTCCACTGAGCAATTGTTCTCACTGTCAAGAAATTCCTCCTTCGTTCTAAGTTGCTTCTCTCCTTGATTAGTTTCCACCCATTGCTTCTTGTCCTGCCTTCTGGTGCTTTAGAGAATATGCTGAAGAGAGAGCCAAGCTATTCTCCAAAGCACCAGAAAGCGAGACAATGGATGGAAACTAATCAAGGGGAGAAGCAAACTAGAACTAAGGAGGAATTTCCCGGCCGTGAGAACGGTTAGCCAGTTAAATGGTTCAATTAAACCATTATCAAGGGCAGGAAGTAGTGATTCCCAAAGCAGCATTCCAGAGGGATGGCTTTGGTTCCGGTTCCAGGTTTTTGCATCTCCTTCAAATATCAAGATACAAAGTGGGTGTAAGCTCCATATTAAGAGGAAGCCAATTCCTTAATCAACGTAGCCTCTTAACCTAGTGAATTGCACATTCCTGCTACTTGTTTATGGAGATCCCCAGTCATCCAAGTCCAATTTGTCCCAAAGGTGTTTTTTTCAAGAAGCAACTGGACTTTCTTGGTGGTGTTTTGTTTTTTTTGAAGACGTTTCACTTCTCATCCAAGAAGCTTCTTCAGCTCTGACTGGATGATGGGGAACAGAAGGATTTAATATTCATTGCAGACAGCTGATCATTTGCATCCTTTTAGAGAGTCATTGAGGCCCTTGGAAGTTTCTCGGGGTCACCTGAGTAGTGACGTGCACTCAGGGGAGGCAGGGGAGGCAGAGCCTCACCACTGTCNGATATTGGCTATGTAATAGTATACATGTGATTATATGTTATGAAAATGGGGGAAAAAATTACGTTTGGTCCAGACATTTCCCCCCCATAAATAAATACCCGGGCAACGCCAGGTTATCAGCACTAGTAGATTATAAATGTGATGCCAACTATGGTTAAACCATTTGTAACCTCCCATGGGATGGGAGAAATGATGATTAAATGTCTGCGTCCTCCAGCTCTCTCTTCCCTGGTGATCCCACCTCAGTCTGGCTGGAGATATGAGGGAGACGCCTGGCTTGCTTGTTTTATAAGAATTTTATTAGAGTGTTCATAATATTGTTTTATTTATTTTTTATTCATGGTAGTGGAAACCACCCGGAGCCCCTTGATAGCGAGGCGGGTGGCATAGAAATTGAATCAATAAATAAGGAATCCAAATGAAAATAAAGATAGCAGGGAAATGGGGCAGGGAAAGAAAGGAGAAAAAGAGGTGTAGAGAAAGGGGGGAAGAGGTAAAAAAAGCATCAGGAATAATAGAATAAATCTGTCCTGTCCATATTCTAGACTATTCTGTTTTGTTCTCTTCTTATTCTGTTCTGTCCTATTCTGTTTTGTTCTGGTTTTATTCTGTTCTGTCTTATTCTATTCTGTTCTATTCCTATTCTGTTCTATTTCTATTCTGTTCTGCCCTGCTTGTCCCTATTCTATTCCGTTTTGTTCTGTTTTAATTCTCTTCTGTCCTACTCTGTTCTGTTGTGTTCCTATTTTCTTCTGCTCTACTATTTTATTCTGTTCTGTTTCGTGTTATTCCTATTCCTATTCCTATTCTGTTCTGTTCTATTTTTAGTCTGTTCTGTTCTTCTATCCTATTCTGTTCTCTCCTATTCCTATTCTATTATGTTGTGTTCTGTTATTTCTATTCTGTTCTGTTCTGTGCTATTCCTATTCTGTTCTGTTATGTCCTGTCCTATTTCTCTATTTCTATTCTATTCCTATTCTGTTCTGTTCTATATTCCCCTCTTCCATTCCGTTCCTATATTCTATTCTATTCTGTTCTGTTCCNTCCAACTCTGTTATTCTGTAAGGGTCTCCTGCTTGAACAAAGGGGCTGGACTAGAAGACCTCCAAGGTCCCTTCCAACTCTGTTATCCTGTATAAGCGTACCTAAATCTGGATCTTCTTTGTCATTGTTCCTAGGTGGCACCCGTGAGGCCATCAGGAGATCCCTGCTAGCTCTGTCACCAGGGGTCCTACCTGAGTACTGCACGCCCTACAATGTGCCCTCGATGCTGAACCAGGGGGATGGGCCTCCCCAGATGAGACCCTACCACACCATCATCGATCTCGACGAAAGCAAGTAAGCGCCTATCTCTTCTGTCTTCTTCGGCTCCCTCCAAGGGAAGAGCAGCTTCTCCTAACCCAGGTCTCTTCTAATCGATGATCCTACTGTAGCAAACATCTAGAGGAGACTAGGAGGACCACCCTGGTTTTGTCTTACTTACAAGGAGAGGGATCCCCGGAAAGATTGGCAGAAATGGTCAAAGATAAATCAACCAAGGCCAAAGGAATTTGAAAGAATACAATAAATTTTGTAAATAAAAACGTTGATAGCTCACAAGGATGACTAGGTGCATTAGATATATCATTAGATATAAAGACATTTTATCAGAAAAGGGAGAATTAAAAAGGAAACGAGTTAGAAGAACAAGGGATAGATATGGTTTGGCATGCAAAGCTGCAAATACGATGGAGAGATGAAAAAGATGAAAAGCTTTATGATTTCTATTTGGAGTTGACAGAATTGGATGAAATACTCCCAGGAAACAGAAGAGCGAATGATTAAAAATTATATAATTATTTACTTCGTGTTAAGTTAGAAGAAGAAGTAAAAGAAACAATGATATCATGGGCAAAATTTTTGGATATACGATAGAACTTGAGAAGGGGCAGCAATTATGGGAAGGGAACTATAAATTAACAATGGCAACATCGTATAAAGAGAATTTGTATAAAATGTTTTATAGATGGCATATGTCACCAGAAAGATTGGCAAAAATGTTTAAAGATAAACCAGCCAAGTCTTGGAAGTGTCACCAGATGTCGGGATCATATTATCGTATGTGGTGGACATGTGCAGAGGCAAAAAAATATTGGGCAAAAATTTGCATGCGGTTGGAAAAGATGATACAGCAGCGTAGTGATTTAAAGCTGGAACTGTTTTGTTGGGTATTTTACCAGAGAAATATAGTAAAGAAAATATATATTCAATTATTCATGTAATAACTACAGCTAGAATTGTATTTGCACAAAATTGGAAAAGTGGAAAAAATTCCCTCAGAGGGAGAGGTAATTAAAAAAAAAATCTGTGCAGAAATGAACAGATTAACATTGGCAATGAAAGAGAAGGAAGAATCAGAGAATTTTAAGCTATGGGAATGTTTTTATCACTGGATAAAAAATGAATAAAGACAAAAAGAAACAGAAAATAGAATAATTTGGAAAAGAACGTAGAATTATAGGGGAGGAGATGAATTAAAAGGCAATTAAAATGTAAAGGTAAAGGTAAGATAAAAATAGATTTAAAATGATGTAACTGTTAAATATGATTACACAAAGATTGTACCCAGATGACACAAATGATGTAAGAGTGGTTATGGGAAAATAAAAATAAAGAAACCTTTTTTTAAAAAAGGGGAGGGATCCCCAGGGGTGTTGATCCATCCCCTCTCCTAGGAGGGTCAGCCTTAACCTCCTGCTCACCCACCACGTTTAGGCTGAGCTTCCACCTCTCATCCTGGCATTATGGTTGACAGTCAGCTCCCCACCATCTCCATCGTCCATATAACTGTTAACTGCTCCAGCCATGATCAGAGCCAGGGTCTTGGCTCATATTGGACAAAAGGCTACCCAGGCAACGTAACAGCTCTTCACAATGGCTCAAGGTTGGTCCTCACATCACCACTTCCCTCCTCGCCCTCAGCCAGCTGAATTGCCAGTTGGCAATGCAGCCCCTTACTTTCCTGCTGCCCACTAAGCTAACCCACCTTCCCTGGCAGCAGCTTAAGTGATTTGAATTCCAACCTTTGGGGTTTCTAGTCCAGTTTTTCTCAAGGCCCGATGGAGGCAAATAGCTAAGGAGCAATTTCTTTATTTTATTGTTAAATGTATTTGCCACCTGTCCTGTATATGATCTTGGCATTCTCCTTTCCCAATTTTGAACTGGTATGTAATCCTTCCTTCCTCTCTTCCTCCCTCTATTTCTCTCTCCTTCCTTCCTCCCTCCCTCTATTTCTCTCCTTCCTTCATTCCTCCTTCCCCCCTCCCTTTTTCTTTTCTCCAACTTGTCTTTCTTTTCTTTCTTCCTTCCTTCCTCTTTTTTTCCAACCTGTCTTTCTTTTCTTCCTCCCTTCCTTCCTCCTCTCCTTTTTTCCAACCTCTTTCCTTCCTTCCTTCCTTTTTTCCTTCCTTCCTTTTTTCTTTTTTCCAACCTGCCTTTCCTTCTTTCATTCATTCCTTTCTTTCTCCCTCCCTCTCCCTCTCTTCCTTTTTCTTTTTTCCAACCTATCTTCCCTTCCTTCCTTCCTCCCTCCCTCCCTCCCTCCTTTCCTTTTTTCCAACTTGTCTTTCTTTTCTTCCTCCCTCCCTCCTTCCTTTCCTTTTTTTCAACTTGTCCTTCCTTCCTTGATCACCTGTATCCATCTCATGAATGAAGCTGAAATAATGCCTGGAATGTGTAGGATCTCCTTCCATAGGCAGTGCGTTGGGACTAGAAGACCTCCAAGGTTTTTTGGTGATAGCCTCACCAGCTTCCTCTAAATGCCTGGCTTTCCCCCTCAGCATCCTTTGTAACCTGAATCCCGCCTCTTTTCAGAAGAAAAGGATCCGTCAAGGCCAAGAAATGGAGGTCCTTCTTCAACCTAGGACGATCCAGCCATGACTCCAAACGCAAGTTGAATAAGGCGGAAGACAAAGGTAAGAGACACCTGGTCCTCATCCAGACGAAATCCATGCATGCATGGAGCAGAGCAATCTGCGCCACAACCAGGCGTGGGATTCAGCAGTTTGGACCAGTTAAGGCAAACCGGATGTTAATTTTAATCTGGTTTGCCAAACCCAGAGGGGGGTTCCTATCAGTTTGCACATAAGCAATTTTAATTGAACTGTGCATGGGCGCGCACAAGCCCCACTCCTGGCCGAACTGGTGGTTGCAAGGACTGGCTGGCCCCGCCCATCCCACCCATCCCCTCCCAGGAACCATTTTGGATGCCAGGTAAGTGCGGGGCCCACTCAGAGGCTCTGAAAGGGCGAAAAATGGGCGTACCAGGGCCCGTTTCTGGTCTCTGCAGGCCAGGGGAGGCCATTTTTGGGAAGGTTTGCAGACTGCAAAAACTTTTTCCCCCTTTTGAAAAGCTCTTTAACTGATTGATGAGAATTAGATTCTGCTGTGCCAGCAGAAATAAAGTCTTAGGTGCTGCAGATTGTCAGCGGTTTCCTTCTCCAGCACATGGATAAATACACCTGGAAACATCTNGTTTTATTGTAAGCCGCCCGGAGTCCTTCGGGAGTGGGCGGCATACAAGCTCAATAAAATGAAACGAAACGAACCAGGAGACCCTATATCATTTAAGACAGGTGGCTGTGCAGTCTTTCCTTAAAATGTGGGTGATGATGCACCCACAACTTCTGAAGGAAACCCTTTCCACTGGTTAATTGTCCTCACTGTTAGGAAGTTTCTCCTTATTTCCAGGCTGCTTCTATCCTTCATTAGTTTCCATCCATCGTTGGGCGGAAACTAATCAGGTTTATGTGCCGATCACAAGCAAAGCAAAAGGCTCTTTAAAATACACCCTGGGATGTGAGGGGGGCGTGGGTGGGAGAGGAGTCTCTGTTCATTCCAAATGTGAGTGAATGAATCTATTCACCCACCTGTAATGTGAAGGTCAGACAAACTGGAAAACAATTGTACAGCCGTAATTCCCCGAGGATTAGAACACCGGCAGCAAAACAGTAGACATCACAATGGGTGGCTTGTTGTCCATTGCTTTTGTTGGCTGTCTGAAGTGAGTGGTTTTAAAAACATACAAAGTGCTCTGCTGAATCAGAACGTGCATCAACCTATTTCCAGAGAGGCAAATAACCCCCAAGCAAAACATGTAGACACTAAACTACTCTCGTTGTTATTTCCCACGAGAGCCATGCTGTCTCTGATCCTGGTGATTGCATAGAGCGAAGCACTGATATCCTCATTTCTCTGTGGTCGTTGCAAATCACAGTTTTGCTGGCTGTTCTTTGCACGCGAAGTCAAAAGGGTTCAGTTTATGGCGTCTTCTATTTTCTTTCCTTCTTCCCGACTTCCTGTCAGAATAGCATTCATGCCAGCCATGGGATTCCCTTCCGGTTCACGCATGGGCTTCCCTCGCATGTGCCACATCTGCGCATAGTGTTCTGAGCATGTGCAGTGCTCGCACATTACGTCTGGGCAGGGGGAGGAGCCTCCTGCAGCTACCGCTGCCGGTTTGCCTGTTGCCCTTTATTCATTTTATTATGTAGCTCTTTTTTAAAAAAAATCCTTTTCATTAATACGTGTTAATTTGAATTGTGGATCATTTAAAAAAAAACAACTGAATGATTAAAACCGCCCCGCCTTGGTTCTTTGCCTCCATTTCAGTGGGGAGGGGGGACATGTTTACCAAGATGCACGAGGCAAAACACATTGTACATATTTAGCACTCAAGCAAAAAGGATGCACAGTTAGGAAAAAGGAGATTTCTGCAAAGAAGGACCATATTGGGGTTATTCCTCAAACAGCATCAGAGAGTGAAACATCACATTAGCAATCATTTACAAAGGAATATCTTCAGGCTTTTTCCATCTAGCAGTATATTTGCAATTTCTATTAGTAGGGATTCCTCCAAGGACGATTAATACCTGGCATTTCTCTCTAGCCTTAAAAATATGGTGAATTAAATTAATGCCAGCTAAGGGGCAGGTTTGTTTGCTTATTTCTTAAGCAGTAAGTATATATTTCTTTTTAAAAAATCTGTTAAAGCAATATTCGCTAGTCTTCCCAGATATCTTCTGTCTGACATTATACATCATTATATCAGAATAAAACAGTATCTTAACTATGATATTGCAATAACATGCCACCTTAATCTGCAAATCCTCTGGAATGAGCTGCCCCCGGAGCTTCGTATAATCCCCGACCTCCGGTCCTTTCGACACACCTTAAAAAGTTGGCTTTTCCAGCAAGCCAGCCTGGCCTGAATAAAACAAAATAAATTATTGATTATTGTTAATTTTAATCAAAAAAAATTTTAAAAGTGTTATTGTTAATCTTAATTGGGTTTGTTTTGGATATTAATTTTTTTAAACTTTTGTAATATGTGTTTTTTTTAATGTTGTACGCCATCCTGAGTCCTTGGGAGAAGGGCGGCATATAAATCCAATAAACCAAACCAAATATCCAACAGGCAGACTCTACTTGAAGTAGATTGTCCCAAGTGTAACCAGGACTCTGGCTATGTATGTATTTGTTGAGTCTATGACTGAATGAGTCTGTATGTGTGCCTAGTAAATTATATAGTATTTATGTAAAATAAATATATAATCAGAGATGGGTTCCTACCAGTTCAGACTGGTTCGGCCGAGTAAGTGGTAACTCGGCCTGCCACGCTCCTGAACCGGTTCTATCGGTAGTGCCATAGGTAGCGCAAT